ACAAATCCTTCTTCATAAACTTTCAAAATAGCTTCACATACAAATCTGTATTGACTCTGAAAAATAAAATATAAAAAAATAGAATGGATCAGAAAAACTAGAAAACAAACGAAGACAGACAAACATCTCACTTGGCTTGCTTATACAAGAAATACAAAGTAAGACTGCACAGAGATACCACTTTTCACCAAGAGACTGGCAAACAAAGTTTGACAGCATATTCTGTCGGCAAAACCCACTCATACGTTGCTAGTAGGAATGTGTATACCACAATCCCTATGGATGGACAGTTGGCCTCATCTGACAAAATTACATTGATTTACCTATTGACCCAGCAATTCCACTTCTAGGAATCTATCCAGAAGACAAACTAGAAAAAGAAATTAAAATATTTATTCAGAAATGAGGCTATTCACTGCGGAATTACTTATGATGACAAAAAAGTAGAAACAATTCAAATCATCATCAGTAAGGGACTGGGTGAGTAATCTGGTACATCCTCAAAGTGCGGTACTAGGAAATGGGGGGGAAAGGAAAAGAAGTCTACAGACTGCTACAGACTGATTCCAGGATATTTTGTTAAGTAAAAAAAGCAAGGCAGAGAAAAGTGCATACAATATATTATCTGTATAAGAGAAAGGGGGGGAATACGAATATGTACTATCTCAAAATGTTTGTTAAGAAAAAAGCAAGGGAAGGGTAAATCATAAAAAAAATGGTTTCCTATAAGGAAAGGAGTGGACAGGGTGAAGGAGAGAGAGAGAGAATATACTTCTTTCATAGATTTTACTTTGGAACCATGTAAAGATACTCCATAATTAGAACATTAATTTTAAAAGCCTCTATAAATTGAAAATATAAAACATATCAATGTATGTATCTAGTTGATGGCATAACCACATACAGAGGAGCTATTTCAAAGGACTTTGAAACAGTAATTTAACTGTGTATCTCTGTAGAATATATATCCCAAAGCAAAGAGCACTGTGGAAAGAAGTGAAAATTCTTTTTGGTAACGATACTGTTGGTAGTGTTAGTTTTGTTATTCTGAGACAGCTGTTGGGTAATCTGGAATAAAACAAATGAGGACTTGGGATATGCTAAGTCTTTCATTTCTGGTATTGTAGAGAACCAGCATTCTTGTTAAAGAAGAAAAGGGACAAAGATATAAGCAGAAAATGGTAAGTGAAAGCACTGTGGTCTGAGTCTGTATTGGAAGCCGTGAAACAGAGCAGGGCCCTATGGTCTATGCCCCCCATGTCCTCAGCCTGCCTTTTGTCTGTGGAAAAATTTTAGCCAAAGAGTAACTTTAATCAGAGAAATGAGAAAATGCAGAAACAATGGAAAACAGTCAAAGGCGACTGGATAATAATATAGTCATTAAGCAGAGTCAAGGACCTTTAGTTCCTCCTCAAGGGCTGTAGATAATATTCTAAGCCGTATCCTGTGAGCTGTCTTATAGATACTGAAACCCCCGCCAGGTGGAAGAAGTGAACTACACGATGACCAGGCTGTAGCCATGACATAAGCTGCCACGATTCCGAGAACTGGCCCCAAGGAAATGGGAACGAACCAACCCTGGAGAGGCCAATGAACCAACTCATTATATTGAAAACTTATAAATAAAGGGAAAGCATCAAGTGTTAATCTTGTCTTTCCTATACAGACTGTACCACTGGTTAACCAAAGAGCAGATGAGAAGTTTCTCTTTACAGAAGTATTCCAACTAATAAATAACAAAGGAATGATAGAATATCATCATTTTGCAAGCCCAATGAATTAATGATGCAGACACTGATCACCCAAGGCTGCTAACATCACAAAAAGGAAGACACAGTCATCATGTACCCTCTGAAGGAAGCTGCTGCAACCTACAGATCCATTTACCAGTCCTGGAAAAGACAGAGAACACAATCAGCAAAATCCAGACTATGGGAGAACAAGTAGCACAAACAACCTGTGTTGTTCATCAAATAAACTGCAAGAAGAAAGAAGAGAGACACAGGAGGAAGACACAGATTGAAAGAGGTTTAGGAGACACACAGACCAATCAAAATGTGTGGGCCATATTCGAATCCTGACGTCACACAAACTGTGAAAACAGAAACAAAAACTCATTACGTATGATATGATCCAGCAATCTGACTTGTGGATATATATCTGAAAAGATTGAAAGCACTGTCTAAAAGAGATATTTATACATCCATGTTCACAGCAACATTATTCAACAATAACCTAAATGTGGGAATAAACCAAATGTCCATCAACAGATGAAGGGATAAGAAAAATGTGGTATATACACACAAGGAAGTATTTTTTTCAGCCTTAAAAAGGAAGGAAATTCTGACACATGCTACAACATGGGTGACTCTTGAGGACATTATTATGCTCAGTGAAATAAGCCAGTCACAAAAGATAAAAACTGTGTGATCCCACTTATAGGATGTATCTGGAGCAGTCAAATTCACAGCAACAGAAAATAGAATGGTGGGGGCTGGGGGAGAGAAAAATGGATTTAATGGCTATAGAGATTAAAAAGTTCTACAGATTGGTTATACAACAGTGTGAATATACTTAATACTACCGAACTGTACACTTAAAAATGGTTGAGATGGTAAATTTTATGTTTTGTATTTTACTACAATTAAAAGTAAAAAATCTATTATGTGTGGATATAGATATAGAAACCTCAAGAAAATACTAGCAAATCAAGTCAAGCAACATATAAAAAGAATTAAACACCATGTCTAAGTAAGATTTATCTCAGGAATGCAAGGTTAGTTTAACACCCCAAAATCAATCAATCTAATACATTATGTTAATAGAATAAAAGACACAAACTACATTATCATCTCAGATACAGAAAAAGCACCTGACAAAACTGAACACCCTTTCATCATGAGAACACTCAACAAACTAGAAAGGGAGGGAACTTTCTGAACTCGATAAAAGGCATCAATGAAAAATCCATGCTAACCTTATAGTACTTAGCGGTGAAAAACAGAAAACTGTCCCTTAAGACCAGGAACAAGACAAGGATGTGTGGTTTCACCACTTCTGTTTAACACTGTACTGGAGATTCTGGCCAGGGCCAGAAAAGATGAAAAGAAAACCAAGGCATCTATACTGGAAAGGAAGAAGTAAACTATCTCTATTTGCAAATGACATGATCTGTATATAGAGGATCCTAAGGAATTATTAGGGTTAATAAATGACTTCAGCAAGGTTGCAGGATACATGATCAATATGCAAAATCAGTTTTCTTTCTATATCCAAGCAATGAATAGTCCTAAAATGTAATCAAGAAAACAAGTACACTTACAATAGGACCAAAAAGACTAAAAAAACTTTAAGAATACATTCAACAAAAGAATGATAAGACTGTGCAATACAAAACACTGTTGAAGGAAATTAATGAAGACATAAATAAATGGAAAGACATTTTGTGTTCATGCTTTTGAAGACGGAATATCATTAAGATGGCAACACTCCCCAAAATGATCTATAGATTTAATGCAATCCCTGTCTTGCTTTTTTTGCGGAGAGGACAAACTGATTCTAAAATTCTTATGGAAATGCAAGGGACCCAGAGTAGCCAAAACAGTCTTGAAAAAGAAGAACAGGGTTGCAAGATACAGATTTCCTGACTTCAAATTTTATTACCAATTTATAGTAATCAAGACAGTGTGGTATGAACATAAGAACAGACATATAAATCAATGGAATACAACTGAAAGTCCAGAAATAAACCTTTACATTTGCAGTCAAGGGACCCAGAGACAATTCATGGGGAAAGAACAGTCTTTTCAACAAGTGGGGCTGAGACAACTGGAAATACACATGCAGAAGAATGAAGGTAGACCCCTACCTCACACCACACGCAGATATGAACTCAAAACGGATCTGACATTTAAATGTGGCAGCTAAACTATAAAACTCTTGGAGGAAAAAACAGGAATAAATCTTTGTGACCTTAAGTTATGCAATGATTTCTTAGCTATGACACCAAAAGTGTATGTGATTAAAAACCAAACAAAACTGGATGTAATCAAAATTAAAAACTTCTGTGCTTCAAATGACTTAATCAAGAAAGTGAAAGAATAGCATAAACAAAAACATTTGCAAACCATAGAACTATAAGACGAGACTTGTTTTTAGAAAATATAAAGAACTCTTACAATTCAACAATAAAACAAAAAAAACAAATTGAAAAACAGGCAAAAGATTTGGACAGTCCTCGAAAGAAGGTATACAAATAAATGGCCACATGAAAAGATACTTGATATCATTAGTTATTATGGAAATGCAAATCAAAACCACAAGACACCACTTTATATTCATTAGGAAGGCTAAAATAAAAGATAATGACAAGTGATGACAATGATGTGGAGAAAATGGAACCCTCACACACTGCCAGGGGACTGCAAAATGGTGCAGCTGCTGAGGAAAACAGTCTGACGGTTCCTCAAAAGGTTAAACAGAGTTACCATATGACCCAGCAATTCCACTCCTGGGTATATACCCAAGAGAAATGAAAACATTTATAAACAAAAACATATACACAAATGCTTATGGCATCATTATTCATAATAGTCAAGAAGTGGAAACAATGTAAATTTCCATCAACAGATGAATGTGTATCTATTCAATGAATAAGGAATGAAGTACTGAGATATGCTACAGAATGTATATACCTTTTAATATTATGCTAATTAAAAGAAGCCAATTATTTATGAAAGATCAAATTATATGATTCCATTCACATGAAAAGTCAGAATAGGCAAACCTACAGAGACAGAAAGTAGATTAATGGTTGCCTACGGCTAGGTTGGGGGAAGCCTGGGGAAGGTAACAGGGAAAAATGGGTACAGGATGTCTTCTTTGGGGTGATGAAAATATGCTAAAATTAGATAGCAATTATGGTTGCCAAACTCTGTGATATAAAAAAACCCAGTGAAATGTACACTTGTTAAAAAGGGTGAATTTTATGGCATGTGAATTATATAAAGCTGTTCTAAAGTTTAAAAAGACATGATTTATATGAGACAACCGGAAATCTGAATACTGGCTATTGCTAATATTAGGGAATTACTGTTAATTATACTTTGGTGTGATAACGGTGTTGTGGTTTTGTTTAGAAGAAAAAAACACTCCTTATCTTTTAGAGAGACACACTAAAATATGTAAGGACAAAACAATATGATGTGTAGGGTTTGCTTCAAATGTGCAGACAACAGGTGGCAGTATGAAGGAAACACCACAGCCAGTGTTGGGGCTGAGTATGCAACACAGTGTTGATTACATTATATTGTCTGCTTTTGTGTATGTTTGAAATTTTCCATAATTAAAAGCTAAAAAAATGACAGGCACTTACCACATAGGTCAGTTCACTTCAGTAACCTTAATGCCACCAACAGTGCTAACATTTCACAATGGCTTAATATAAAAAATAATCTTAGCGTTAACTCTAAAATTCCATGATTCCTCTTTTGATTCTTGGAACATAATTCAGAGTCGGTATAGAATATAGTAAGTTAGTAGCTTAATGTTGATGATTTTTGTTGTTGCAATTTAAGCTCCTATGTAAAAAAGAAAGGCAATTTCCCCACAGCTGTTTCACTGAAAACAGGTCTATCAAGATTCTCCAGTCTAGGGACACTATCGTTCTCAGCACTCCATTTGACTAAGTAACCCAGGGCACGTTCCTCCTCTGCGCCTGTTTAGGCAGTTCAGAACTAGCATGATAGGCTGGTGTTAGCAAACGTTTTCTGTAAAAGACCAGATAGCAAATACTTTCGTGTTTGCAATCACATGGTGCCTGCTGCAACTTCTCAACTCTGCTACTGTAATGTGAAAGCAGCCATAGACAACATGTAAACAAATGACTGGCTGTTTCCAATAAAACTTTATTTATAAACACAAGTGGCGAGTTTGGCTCATTGGCAGTATTTGCTGGTCCTTGTGCTAAGGTTATTAGCTCCTGGCAGAGAATTAAAAAGAGAAAAGTATGGTTTGAAATATATACTGATAACAAAACCCATCACGTTGAGAATGCACACTCAAACATGAGGCATGTAGTACTTACAGGAGTTTGGATCATCATGGCTCGTTGGTCTCTCATTGTTCTCACAATATCTAGTGGATAAACTGGCTGATTGCATTCAATGAGACACATGGCTGTTTCCATGGTAATAAGAACCCCAGTTCTTCCAATCCCAGCACTAAAAAAGACAAATATGGGGCAAGATCTGATACAATTCTCTTACACTTCTTGTGCCTTTTGTACTGAATCATATTACAGTAGAAGAACAATTTTGATTTTAATGTTTTATATTAATAAAAGTAGCAAGCCAACTGGAAACTATTTTGGAAACCAAAAAAAAAAAAGTCACTTAATACAGATTAAATGGTCTGTAACCACCCCTCCCCCACTGTTAGTTGCAAATATACAATTTTAAAAGTTACACTTCCGTTTTTAAAATCCGAACAAGGTATAGAAGCTTACTGGAGAAAACAGCTTTAAAATACAAAATAAGAGGATTACAATAATAAATCATTAACAAATGTACAGAAGACAACTATTTTACACACGCAAAAATCAATTTTTAAAACCAAATTTAATTTTCATTAAACTTCACCATTGACACAGTTAAGAACAACTCTGTGAAGTACTCTGTGAATGTGGATAAAGTAGCTCTTGGGAACTAAGGATATGAAATAGCCAAACGTGTCCACCATTCCTGCCATTTTGCCTCTGTAGACCAATATTTGGTCTACAGTCTGTTTTGATGATTTGAAAGTTTGCTCTTAAAAAGTGCTGGAAAGTTTAAGGATAAAGAGATACCTTAATACATCCTCTGAATAAACCACTTAGATAAGGAGAAAATAACTTCTGGCTCCTAATCTCTGCAAGGCTGTAGCATTGTATCTGGTCCCGTGAGGGCAGAAGGGTTCAGTGTGAAAGGAAGGAGGGTGTGAGCCGCCATTCACCGGGGCTCTTGGAAGTAGTCCCCCCTGAGAGGGTTGGGCAGCGCCACTCCGAGGAGGTGAGATGCTCACCAAACGTCCTAGGAGGGGCCAGAAGCAGGAAATCCAAACCTCAGGATGCAACCTAGCTCCTGCAATGCTGTATTTCATCAAATCTATGAAACCATTAGCTTTAGGACATAACTATGAAGAAGACAAACTGCCAAGAATCAGCACAGTATTATTTTTACTTCTTATGATAAAATTTCTGTCAGTCATCTGTTAAAACATACCCTTTGCCTTCTACCTTCAGAGCCTAGCTTCGAGATCTATCAGAGTGACAACCGTAACTGAAGGACGTATTCCCTTTTAAAAATGACACATCTAGTCAGTTACTCAAATCATAATAGACAGAAAATAAAATACCTGCAATGAACAACAATAGGTTCTTCCTTGCCGGCCCTCTTATTTCGTACATGGCAAACAAAATCCAGAAAGTCGCTTGAATCGTCAGGGACCCCATGGTCAGGCCAGGCTATATACTGGATCTGAGTGAGCTGACGACTCTCATTTTTCTAGGTATAATGAAAAATTATGCACCTGAGTTAGAAATAATCCTTAAAATATAAACAAATATTCACGTCACTTTAATTTTAGGAGAAAAGCAATGGACTTCCCTGGTGGCGCAGTGGTTAAGAATCCGCCTGCCAATGCAGGGGACACGGGCTCGAGCCCTGGTCTGGGAAGATCCCACATGCCGCGGAGCAACTAAGCGTGTGCGCCACAACTACTGAGCCTGCGCTCTAGAGCCCGTGAGCCACAACTACTGAAGCCCGTGCGCCTAGAGCCCATGCTCCGCAGCAAGAGAAGCCACTGCAGTGAGAAGCCCGTGCACCGCAACGAAGTGTAGCCCCTCCTTGTTGCACCTAGAGAAAGCCCGCGCTCAGCAACGAAGACCCAACGCAGCCAAAAATAAATAAATTTTTAAAAAAACAAAAGAAAAGCAAAAGAAAGCACTCTCATTCCCCCCTGCCAAAAAAGTAATGTATAAACTCAATAAAACCCAAAAGTTCAAGGAAAAGGAAAGAAACCATTTTACAGAAACAGCTGTACACATTTAAGTATCAGTCACTTGGATTATTACTCTTCTTACAACTCAATTTCTGTATTTGTAGAGTATTTTTAGGATGATAATCAAGTAAACAGGCAAAAACAGATTAAGATCCCAGAGGAATGTTTAAAAGAAAACTAAAGAATTGTTAGGTGAGCAAAAAGTAAGGTAAAAAAAAAAATCTTTTTTTTAATGAACAAAGTTGGGCTAATACTTATTGATAAGTGCAAGTGAAATTATGGAAATCAGGAAAAATAAAATCTCAAAATAAATGTAGGTTAAACACTGGAGAGCATAAAAACACAAAATCAATCAGGACTTAATTCTTTTTGGGGAGCCAAAAGTTGGTATAATGAAGAAAGTAAGGTACTGAATTTATACATCTTGGCTCAAATGTCAACTTTGCCAGTAAGGGTGCTAATTCAGAGCCTTACTTTCTCCAAATGAAAAATGAAATGACATCTACACCTCAGAGGGATAGTCTTATGTTAAAAGGATTCAGTGAGAGGACCTGCAAAGCACCCAGTCACAGCTGTTTGGAATCATATGCTCAATACTTGGTAGCTATAGTCATTCAACACTATGAAATCTGGTTACTATCATTTACATTAGATGGAGCTTCCAGAAAAGAACGTGAAAGTAAGGTAATCAAGAGAGAAGAATTCCCAAAGAGACCTCAGTTTAATTTGATAACTAATTTTTCAGATGAATTGAAGGTATCTAGCACAGATTACCTTTGACTATCATTGTTAACGAGAGAACTTAACGGTACCAATAGTCTACAAGATGGGTGAGGTAAAATCATATTTTATTAAGTCTTGGGGTGGCATCTATCTGTCTATTCATCTATCTGCCCATGTATGTATGTACTGATGGTAGCAAGTTAATTTTCCCAATTATAATTGGCTCCAACGTTAGAAACTAATTTGTGTCTTAGCATAGTTCTGAGGTACTCAGCGTTGCAAAGAAAAGCCACTAAAATATATACAACTGCCATGGATAATCTGCCGGTGGAGAACGACGGGATACACATGTCACCTGATGCAACCCTCTACAAGCTCATCTGTCATGTCTATTTAGGAAAGTGAAGAACCAGCTTATTGGCTTGCCTTGTCATACAACCACAAGCTATACAGTATCCACGCCCAAACCCCACATTCATTCTCCTATCTCTAGCCCGTAAGATTTTGAAAACTTTACTTTCTTGTAACTTTAGCTTTATCCAGGGCCAGGTTCCTTCAGCACAACATGGTGCTCCTTCCCTTTCTGGCCAGTAAGGCCCTGTCTCACTGGACTCCTGTAATCACCCTCGGGGAAGGGTGCGGTGGCGGCAGCCTGCGTGTGGGACCAGGGGAGCCGTGGTCTCGTCTCCAAAGGCTTGGCCGTTGATGCTGTGCTGTCTGCTCTTCTCTAGCATCACTTCTTTCTGCCTTCAGCCCCCAAAGCCCCTACCGCCCCTCTGCCCCAGGTGGCTGGTCCAGGCTCTGGCAGCCCAACAGGACAGGCGCGTGCTGCCCTCCACACATCTCCCAGCTGGGTTACTGAGCCGGCGTTTCCTCGTCGGTTTCCACTCTGGCTTTGATCTGGAAGCCACGTGGACTGACCCAGGCAGCAGTAAGAAAAACTAACAATTTGAAAGCTATAATCTGTCTGAGGTCAGAAGGTCCTGCCTACCTACGATCTTTTCCTCCTTAATACTGAGAAGACTGTGAAACTGCTCTCTTCCACTCTTAAAAAAGGGGAATAGGGGGCTTCCCTGGTGGCGCAGTGGTTGAGAGTCCGCCTGCCGATGCAGGGGACACGGGTTCGTGCCCCGGTCCGGGAAGATCCCACATGCCGTGGAGCGGCTGGGCCCGTGAGCCATGGCCACTGAGCCTGCGCGTCCGGAGCCTGTGCTCCGCAACGGGAGAGGCCACAACAGTGAGAGGCCCGCGTACTGCAAAAAAAAAAAAAAAAAAAAAAAAAAAAAGGGGGGGGGTGGGGAATAATTTGATAGCTTTCAATTGTTCTTTCCATTTCTACAGATGGACTCCAGTACCTTACTGATAATACGTGGAGGAAACAATCTATAGCCAACACCCCTGGCATAATTTTTATGAATAGGAAGAGTACAATGTTAATAGTAATAAGTATTATTTACTAGACTATTTTTTCACTGATCATTCGTATTTACTTACAGAAATTGGAAATATTATAGTAGGAGAATACATTTCATAAGATTCCGAAGTATCCCAATGAAGCAAATAGTTCAGCAATTTTTTAATACTTCTTAGTAACTAGGACTCAGACTAAAAACATTTTCATCTGTCAAAGCCTCTACCTTAAACAAAACAGCTCTAACCAACAGACCCCCTGCCTTCGTACCTCCTGGTTAAACAGTGTCATCTTCCTGAAGACATATGCAGTGTTTCCTTCTTCTGAGTGGCAGGTGACTTGGTAGCACCCATAGGATGAACTTCCTGTGGGTTCCGGCCAATACTGGTGACACTTAACCTGGTATCAATAGATTTTAGAAATATACATAATTCAGGTTCTCCAATTTTTAAAATGTTTTAATTTTTAAGAACTTTCAAACTTACAGAAAAGTGACAAGAATAATTTAATGAACTCTCACATACCCTTCACCTAGATCTACCAACTAGTATCATTTTTTTCTTTGCCACTTTTTCTCTTTGTAATAATAGTCTGTTTGGATATATTTTGAGACTGCGAATATCCTGTTTACAACAAGCTTCCACCCATTGTTTTACCATTACACTAATTTAGATTTAAGTTAACAATGAGAAAGAATCTTCAACTAAAATGCCAAATGCAATCCATGTATTTTCATAATTAAGATTTTTTTAAAAAAAGGTTTCATGGCATACAATTCACATACCATTCAATTTACCCATTTAACATACACTATTCAATTGTTTTTAGTATACTCACAGAGTTGTGTAACCATTACCACAATCACTTTTAGAACATTTTCGTCACCCCCAAAGGAAGATCCACAGCCCTTAGTAATCCCTGTGTGTCCCTCTGGCCCCCTCTCCTCCCTCTAGGCCAGGCCTGGGTGACCACTAATCTACTTTCTGTCCCCTATGGCCTACTTTGGACGTCACATATAATAGAAGCATAAGATACGCGGTCTTTGGTGACTGCTTTGTTCACTTTGCACAGTGTTTTCTAGGTTCATCCATGTTGCAGCATGTATTATTTTTTCATAACTGTTTATTGCCAAATAATATTCAACTGTATGAATGTACCACATTTTATCTGGTACATCTGGGTTTTCTCCCACTTTGGGGCTATTAAAAATAATGCAGCTGTGAACATTTGTGCACCAGTTTTTGTGTGGACGTGGACTTAATTCTCTCGGGTATTCCTAGGAGTGACACTGCTGAGTTACAGTCCCTCTACGTTTAGCCTCTTAAAGAGCTGACAGGCTGTCTTCCAAGGCAGCTGCACCATTTCACAAACCCACCAGCGGTACAGGAGGTTCCGCTGCCGCCACATCATCACCAACACAGGTGATTTCCTGTCATCTTTACTTTGGCCACCCTACTAGATATGATGTAGTAACGCATGGTGGCTTTGATTCGCATTTCCCTGATGACTAATGATGCTGGGCATCTTCTCGTGACCTTGTTGGCCATCTGAATATCTTCTTTGCAGAATCATCTATTCAGATCCTTTGGCCATTTTTAAATGGGGTATTTGTTATTTTATGGTTAAGTTGTATGAATTCTTTATATATTCTAGATACAAATCCCTTATCAAGTATATATTAGTCCATTTAAATAATAATGGCTAACACTTATATCACATTTATTATAACACACTTATTATGTGTCAGTCACGGTTAAGCGCTTATCCATGATGATTTTAATCACGACCCCGTAAGAAAGGACGTTTAGAGGTGACAGAAGAGACCACACGACGTGGCTCTCTTGACTGTGCACGCGACGCAGCCTAGAAAAGCTTTGGGCAGCGTGACTTACTCTGCCATGCTCGGCCTGTGTGGTCAGCATCACAACCGTGGAGCAGCCTTGTTCCCATGCCATCTGCCAGAAGTCTGTACAGGTGTGTGGCAACGGCCCTTGGCAAGCGATGTACTGATTTATTATTCTAGAGGAAGGAATTTCCATCTAAAAGGACACAAAAACAAAATCGTTTGCATTATTACTTTTTACTAGGATCGAACACACGAAAATCATCTACTGAATGATAACTGAATACAACTAATCTCAATAAATTGCAAAGTGAGTAAAACAAATCTTTATCAACAATTTATTTTATTTGCAGCAGAAATTTCTTGGCAATGTGCAGTAGTTATACATATTTATCTTTCAATCAGTGGAAACGGGAATTTAAATATTTTCCAAAGCGCTCTTATGGTTTTTTTAAGCGCAGCTTTACAGAGAATCCTGCTTCAGAGGCAGAGAATTGATATAGAAATAAAAAATGTTTGCCTGTACATAGAAAACAAACTTATGGTTACCAAAGGGAAAAGGCAGGGGATAAATTAGGAGTTTGGGATCAACATATACACACTATATAAAATACATAAAAAACCAAGGACCTACTGTATAGCACAGAGAACTATATTCGATATCTTGTAATAAATTATAACGGAAAAGAAAAAAAAGTGTCTCTAACCAGCTTATTAGTAAATTTTGTGAGAAGCAAAAATTCTGCCATTGGCTTTAGTTGAGATTTTTCATATTATATATGTGTATATATGTATAATGTGACGTATAAATATTATGTAATATGCACATAATTATATATATAATATATGTAGCATGAAAAGATTGGAAAAATATTTTAAGTTCATTATTTTCAGAAAGTAAGACTGTAAGTATTTGGGGAAGATGAACCATCATCTTATTATATTTTTAAGACTGAATTAAAAAAAAGAAAAGGTGACGTGTACATGGCAACTGGAAGGATACCAAAGGGTGAGGAAAGATGTCTCCTTCCCATCCCAGCCTCCAGTTTACACTCAGGAGGGCAATCCTTTTTCCTAGCTCCGATCATGTCCCTTTGAAGATATACTACACACGACACACAAATGTACACGTAAAACTACTTTCCTTTTTGGCTGTAAAATATAAATGGTAGCATATAATGTTGTTCTGCATCTTGTTTCCCTTTTTTCTACTTTACCTTTAAAATCATGTCAGATTAGTACATAAAATTTCATACTGTGTAATGGCTCTACTGTATAAACGTACCGTAAATTCATATAACATTTAAGTTGTGGCCAATTTATCTGCTATCATAACCAAGGCTACACTGAATAATTTGTAGACCTAACATTTTTGCACACAGGAAGAAATATATTTGTATAGGCAACAGGAAGAAATGAGAACGCTGGATCAAAGTGCATGTGCGTTTAAAAATATTTTTAAATTAATTAATTAGTTTTATTTTTGGCTGCATTGGGTCTTTGTTGCTGCACACGGGCTTTCTTTAGTCACGGCAAGCGGGAGCTACTCTTTGTTGCGGTGCGCGGGCTTCTCATTGCAGTGGCTTCTCTTGTTGCGGAGCACGGGCTCTAGAGCACAGGCTCAGTAGTTGTGGCGCACGGGCTTAGTTGCTCCGCAGCATGTGGGATCTTCCCAGACCAGGGCTCGAACCCGTGTTCCCTGCCTTGGCAGGCAGATTCTTAACCACTGCACCACCAGGGAAGCTCTGCATTTAAAATTTTAACAGACGGCTCCAAATGGCTCTCCAAAGAGGTCGTCCCTATTTATACTTCCACCAAGAATGTGTGAGGAAAGCTTGTTCCTCAGTAAACTCCTTAATAATCCACAATCCTTTCTCCACGTTCTGAAACTCGCAATGTTCTGAAGCGTAAGTTTGTCTCTCTCTCTTTTTTTTTGGTATACCTAACCTAACCTTGACTTATTTCGTAACAGTATCCGACCTGAACCTGTTTATAGTCTATCAGTCCTATTTCGTGGGAATATCCATAGTTTGTTTGCTGTTGAATATCAACATATTGATTATAGGGTAACGTCCCATAGCCTGCTGGGGACATTACTTATTACAGTATATGCACCGAATAACCTTTCAAAAATCCTCCGAATTCTGAATCCCAAAGCATATTTGACCCCAAGGTTTCAGGTAAAGGCTGTAGACGTGTATAGGGTATTATCAAACTTTTTGATATTTCAATCTAATAGGTGAAAAATGGTGGTAATTCCTTGCAGTTTTGACATGTACTTTTCTTTATGTAAATTAAGTTGAGCATATTATTCATTTAAGTGTTTGTTTCTGTTATTTTTCTTTGTTTCTGTTATTTTTCTAAGTGTCATAACAGTATAATAGTTTTGCTTAAAAAAAAAGTCCTTATCAGAGGTACATACTAAAAGAGCTGATTGTCATTATCATGGATTGTGGAATAAATCTCAAAGTTTAGAGTGGTCTCTCTTATTCCAAATGACAAAGGCATAATTTAAAAAAAACTTACATTTATATAATTTGCATTGATATAGTCTTCTTTACCCTTTAAAATGACCCGTGTAGCATCATCTGAAAAAATTTAAAAGAAAGAATGTTTTAATAAAGTTATGTTAAGAAGATTAAACATAACATACAGAGAGGGTAGATACTCACAAGGCGAAATATCTCTGTATCTATTTTTGGAAATGTTCTGAGGTAATTTGGCACAAGACATTGTCATTCCAGGTTTTTTCCGATATAGTTGCTAAAAAAAAAAAAAAGAACGTGTCCAGAAAGCCATCAAGAGTTTGTTTTGTTTTTGTTTTCCAGACTTCTATGCTATCAAGAAACAGGTATTTTTCCTTGGAATACCACATCTATACAATGATGTACCTTAGGTTTAGTAAGGTATTGAACCAGATTTGCAAAGCTGAATTTTGCAAAATCTCTGACATGAACTATATATATTTTGAAAAATAGTAAAACAAGTAAAAACAATTTTCCTTACAGCAAAAGTACCTGAAGTTTTAAATAGCACATCTGTAGGAAACACCTAGCTTTCATTTACTTTAGAGATATTTAAAAGAAAAACTGACGTGCCCTAAATATTTTATAGTCACCTACCCTCAACATACACTTCAGAGCAACAAATATTAATGATAGCTAACTACCCTGACAAAAATTAGAGAAGGATTAAATATGAGGTAGGTACATATTTTTATGTACAAGGTACAAAAATTATTTTCCTTTAACTCAGTATTTTTACATCTATAATAGTCTATCTGCAACCTTTCATTAAAACAGCTATTTAATTACAGAGAAAATGTAGCTTGATGACATACCTATAAAATCTCCTTATCCCTCCGTTTTAAACAGATATCTATTAATGAAACCATAGCTAGTATTTTGGAAGCAACTTCTTAAAACTTTGCATTTTAGAATTCTTTTTATATCAAGTATTTTTCAGAATAATATTTTAGTTTATAAATTTTAACTGACAGGAGATTAGGCAGTTAAGAAGCCGTGAAAATACAGGCAAACACCTTTCCCACACAACGTTACTTACATCAAACTGTGTCAGCACTGTCCCAGTGATGAGCCCCGCAGCCAGCTGGACCATCGACTCTCGCAGGGAATGGCCATCCTGATGGATGCTATCTAGCGGGGCTTTCTCAGGAATGTACTGGAAGTCCGGCTCATTCTCTAGCTTTTCTTCCACTACATCATACACAGCTACAAAACCAAAACCCAAATCAAAAAAGCCTCATGGAAACCTTAATGAGTTGGCAAAAGGAATTTACCAGATATTATTTAATTTTGTGTCAGGAAAAATATTCATTTATTCCTAACTCATCAGATCTGAGTCTGGGGCCACTGTGTATGGGTTGAGAGTGGCTGTGGAGTAGAAGAAGTACCTCTGGGGAAAAGAAGGTTCTTGGCCATATTACTGAAAACGTCTGTAACTTGAAGAGACAGTAGGAAAAAGAGGAAGGCCAAGAAGCAGCTCTGACCGGATCTTTAATTTGTGGACCTGGGACAAGAGCAGCAATAGAGGCCTATACACACCATAGGTCTAGACGTGAAAAGCTACACATAAGCGGAACAGAATACTAAACAAAATACTTTCTATTCTCATTCCTTGATGTATCTACCAAACAACTTAAGAGGTCAGATTTCAAAGGAGAATTCTAGGCCAGAATGCATGGTTGTGGCAGTGAGGGGAGCCACCCCTAGACTGTGACCCTTAGGCCACCCTCAGCTCCACTCTTCAACGTGGGGGCCTATAAGCACACCCTGAACCTCACAGCCCACACGGAAGCCCATTCTACACCCCTTTGGAAATTGCTTCCTCTGCGCTACCCTGTTGGCCTATATCACGTGATCAACCCTTGGGAGAACGGATCTGGGAAAAATGGCCACAGAGGCCCAGGAATGGGCTCAGAGTTATTTGGTCAGAGAACTGAGGGTTGAAAAAGGTGGTCTAAAAGGACGGGGAGGTCACAGACGCTGTGACCTTGGTCCCACAAAATCCTGACCCCCATGGGAAAAGGCAAAGCTGAAGCAGAAAAGAGCCCCTTAAGGATGGAGTCAAGCTTCTGGCCTTGTTTAAGAAGTATTGTTCCTGCTCAAATACATATGTACTTTTGAGAAGAAGAGATTTCTGAAATGAAGAATGTAAAGACAAAAAGATGGAAATGCAATTTGTCTAAGAAGAAATAAGATTTAAAGGGGAAAACACCAGGAAAAACAAGCTACGCTTTGGCAAACATAATTTAAAATTTTGATTATACAGTATTTTTTAAAAAATAGACATGACAAACCCACACTGAAAATGAATCCTGGTCTAGATTTTGTTTGATAATAAAGCAATATTAGAAAGATCGTTGCCAAAAAATGTAGGCCCTAGGTGGGTTCCTCTCCTAATTTAAAGTATAAATGGAGTGATTTGGAATTGCAAAAAGGCCATGCCTCTTCCATTATATAGACTTTTCTTCATATTCTGCTTCTGTACTAGTCATGAATTTGTGAGCAGATAACTGAAATGTCTTGGTGCCTAAATGTCCTCAACTATAAAATGGGGATAATTTATCATTGGATGGCTGTAAAGGTTAAATGAGAATATATAAAAGAGCTCAGGTCTATGGAAAGCATTTAAAAACTATTAGCTAATATTATTATTAAGTTCTTTAGGATCTGTTATCAAGAGAAAACAGAAAAAAAACAAATTGAGAGATGATTCTTAGTATGACGTTTAAGTTGTTTTATGTGACGGAAAATGCCTAAAAATGAATCACCTAAATAACAGATCTAAATAAATGAGTTCCTTTAAAAGTCAAAATAGAATGTTCTGTTGAAGTCCTCTGAATTTTCCTAGGAAGCCAATTCTAAACCATGAACGCAGAAAAACACAAAGTACAGGCAAAACTCGTTTTATTGTGTTTCTCAGATATCTAACTATGGTATTTTTTTTTTTTTAAACAGATTGAAGGTTTATGGCAACCTGTGTTGAGCAAGTCTACTGGTGCTATTTTTCCAACAGCATTTGCTTACTTCGTGTCTCTGTGTCATACTTTTGTAATTCCCGCGATCTCAAACTTTTTCATTATTATTGTATCTGTTATAGTGCTCTATGATCAATGACCTTTGACTTACTATTGCAAAAAAGACTATGACTCCCTGAAGGCTCCCATGATGGTTAACAATTCTTAGCAATAAAGTATTTTTAAATTAAGGTATGGATATTGGTTTTTTTAGACAATGTGATTTATTGCACACTTAACAGACTACAGTATAGTGTAAACGTAACTTTTATATGAACTGGGAAACCAAAAAAGTCATGTGACTCGCTTTACTGCGGTGTTTTCTTTATTGCAGTATTTTCTTTATTGCGGTAGGCTGGAACCGAACCTGCAATATCTCCAAGGTCTGCCTGCAGAGAAGGTAAAATGAAAATGTCTGTTTGTACCCAAGAGGCAAAATGGGTACATGGGGAGAATCGGTAGAGTTCTAATCACATTCTACTTCTCTATGGTTTGTAACTGGTGATGTGGCCCTAACCAATAGTCACTCTTGTGGCTAAAACTGTGATTAACATAACTGTTGGGAACAAAACTAGAAGAGCGTGTCTCCTGCCAGGAGGAGGTATGGCATTTACGAATGCTTCTCAGAGGGGACTGGTGAGCGCTGTGGGACCCACAGCAGTGCCATTATGATGAGCACAGGCTGAGGGCCTGGGACCGTGAGCCTGGAGGGAAGGCACAGTTTCTGTGAAAACCCTTCTCGGGACACTGCTGAGGCTGAGCTTACTCCGCACCACATTTATTCTGCACAAAGTGAGAGAATTAGGAACACTGTCCAAAAGGGCAATGGATGGCTTCAGGAGCCCCTGAGCACTCCATGTGGCAGCATATTCGTGAGATCGTCGTAGAAACCGAACTCCAGCTTGTTGCAGGGCTTTCTGCACGTGGAACAGCAAGTATACCTGAGGAAGGACCCAGGACTCCTCAAGCACCTGGGGGCAAGGGAGGCAATCTCAGCCACGGCGGTCAGGACAGAACTTGCCGAGGCTGACATCTGAGCAGAGACCCGAGCGAAGTGAGGGTATACGTTCCACGCACATCGGGAGGAGTGCCTCGGGCAGAAGGGCCATCGGGAAGGCCAGCACAGATGACTGGAGAGGGATCAAGGTCGGGGGTGGGCAAGGTGGCCAAGAATCTGCATTTTACTCCACATGTGAACGGAAGCCGCTGTGCCTTGAGCAAGAGACTGACATGACGTGACCTGTGTTTTAAGAAGCCCGCTCCGGCCGCTGTGTCTAGGCATAAACGTGAAGGAATTATAAGAACATCCAGTGCGACCCAGAGCACTCACCATTGGGTCGAACTAGAAGGACGAGCTCCCCAGGATGCGTCTCGCAGCTCGCTCTGATGAGCAGGACCACCTGGTCGTGGGTGTGCCCCGCAACGTCCCGACCGTTGATCAGCACCACTTGGTCCCCTTCGTTCAGTCGGGGGACACACAGGTCGGCCTGTAATGGGATGAGAATAAGGTCTCCGATTTGCACCCGGCTTTCTGGAAGTAAGGCACAGGAACTTACGTTTATAGACGCTGCAGCAGAACTAAAACCACATGTAGAAGTCTTCTTCGCTCATCCATTAAGAAAGCAGAAGTAGGAATCTCACTTTCCCACAGACACTCCTTTTTTCCTTCTTCATTAATACCTTTTCCCCTAATGCCCTATTATATACCTAGATATACAGAGAAGACTAACATTCTCAAGGTGCACAGATCAAGGCAGCCCTCACTTTGCACTGTCCAGATACATGCAAATTTCAGTCACCACAGCTGAGTTAAATAACACCAGTCTCCTAACATGGTTCAAACTTCAGTAACTGTGATAAATTAATTATGAATAACTGCATAAAGTACAAAATTCGCCGCTAGCCCATGTCAGCCCAAAAATCACTATGTAAATCATAAATATGCACCATGATCAGTGAGCAATCACATCCCTTCTTTCAAAGGCTACTGGTGACTTGGCGTTGGGCATTGGTTATTCAGTTCATGTAGAGACAGCAAAGCGGGTACTTGTCTCTGTCTCCCAGTGATAAACCCACGTAAAAATGGATAATTTAAAGAGCGAGCTGGCCAAAAAGTTAAAAGTATAGCAAAGAAACAAAAAGGGACGGTGCTGGAAGTGAAATTCAAATTGAACATAAACTGAGTTATAGAAGAAATAGTTGACTATGGAAATATTGACACTTCTGCTGTTTGAGAGACCCCAGATACGGAGGGGAAGGAATTTAGAGAAGGTGAATTTATCAACATAAATGATGAAAGTGGCTGCAACAAGAAGGATGAAGATGTCTGAGGAAGTGATGCTGGCGAAAAACTTCTCAATACGGGCACTCCTGGGAGATATTTCACATCACTGAAAGTGCAAAGGACAAGTGGAAGTGGATTCAGACTTAGAAAGGATTATGACCACTTGCCAAGGTGAAGAAAAAATGCTCACTCTGTAATTTAACCTATATGACAAGGAGACAAGCACTGTTCACAAATTACCTGTGGTAAGTTTTCACAATGAAATAAAACACTTTAATTCTCAATGTTTCTAATGTTTGGAATTACAGGATACTAAATCAGCATGAGTTTTACTATTTTTTCATTTCCCTATATACCTACAAGAGAAAGCATCAGAAATTTTAAAGTTTCGATGAAAAATTTAAAGGCCATGGAAACAAACATAATTTTCCCCACTGACTGTCAAGAGCACTTTGTATGGTTTCAGACTGCACGGTTATCTTTACAGCCCTGCACAACTGTGCACGTGAGGGCTGCCTGTATTTTATTGAGAAAACAAACAAGTAAATAAGGTAAAAGAGATCAACAGAAATATGGACAGCCTGCTCCAGGGACACAGGAATGAGAACTCATGGGAGTCAAGTTTGCAGGATGATAGCTCAGACCGCGAAGGAAATGATAGGGCTGGACCTTTCAGAAAGGGCCGTGGCAAAGGCTTGAAAGATGGAAGCACAACTAAACTCACTGTAAAACAAAGTTAACAAAGTCCAATAAGGTACTGTCACTAGTGGAAAGAGCTACTGGTCTAGGAGCCAAGTTCTTCCTTTCCGCTTATGACATGTGTGATCTTAAACACCTGAAACTCTGAGAAAGGAACATGTATCTGTCCTAACTATTCATCGTTGTGAAATTTTTAAAATGAGATATTTCAATGCAAAGCATTAAAATCTGGAAAATTCAAATTTAAGGTTTGGACCATTCTCTCTAGTTGCTTCTTTCTCTACTTCTTGTAGTGGTTAAAAAAAAAAAATCTTTGAATGTTATAGCACAGTGGTTACCCATTATAACTGAAGTAACACTCTCATACTTAATCTGCCTTTTATCAGGGCAGATTTTTATTTGTATTTCATTCGGATCTGGCAAGTCTAGATAAAATGAATTTTGCTGGGGCAAGAGCTATTGGCTCAAATATGATCAGGTAGGAAGAAAAACATGATTTTGGAAATTACCCATTTTAGAAGGTTTCCAATATAAAAAATGACACTAAAATATTTGAAACACTGTCCTTTCCCCTCAATCACCTAAAATGAGGTTTCTAACTGGAAAACTGTAATAGTCTTTAAATTAATAAAATAATATAAAAATGACACATTTCTATTTCTTTAATTTGTTCTAAATTCAGTCACTATTTATGAAACATAGTTCTATGTAGCAGAAAGGAAAAATTACCAATATAGTAATCTGTATAGCATAAAAAGAAAATTTATAGTCATAAAATTTTGTTTGGAAATGAACCTCTCTATAGAATGTTCAAGAACACCCTTGACTTAATTGAAAACTATCCATATTCACTGTTCAGAAAAATCAATATTTCTTTTATGACTATTACAATTGGCATACAAGTAAAAAAAGGTTTATTGGTTTTTTCTAATTATAAGAGCAATACATGTTCATTGTCATGATTTCAGACAATTTAAAAAAAGGACACGGACTTCCCTGGTGGCACAGTGGTTAAGAATCCGCCTGCCAATGCAGGGGACACAGGTTCGAGCCCTGGGCCAGGAAGATCCCACATGCCGCAGAGCAACAGCTCGTGCACCACAACTACTGAGCCCGTATGCTGCAACTACTGAGCCCACGTGCTGCAACTTCTGAAACCCGCGCACCTAGAGCCTGTGCTCCGCAACAAGAGAAGCCACTGCAATGAGAAGCCCGCGCACTGCAACGAAGAGTAGCCCCCGCTCGCCACACCTAGAAAAAGCCCAGGCAAAAAAAAAAAAACCCAAAGAAAAAAAAAAAAAAAAAAAAAAAAGGGAAGATGGAAGCAAGTAATAACAGTAATTCCACTACCCAGATTAAATACTGCTAACATTTTTTATCATGTTTCCAGATTTTTAAAATATATTTACATAACTCATATTTTTAAAAATGGATAAAACAAACATATGAAAGTATAATATGCATTTTTAAATTGAGTATAGTTAATTTAGTTTCAGGTATACAGGAAAGTGATTCAGTTACAAATATATACATATATTTTCAGATTTTTTCCATTACAGATTATTATAAGATATTGAATATAGTTCCCTGTGCTATACAGTAGGTCTTTGTTCTTTATCATAGTGTGTATCTGTTAATCCCATACTCCTAACTTATCCCTCCCTGCCCCTTTCCCCTTTGGTAGCCATAAGTTTGTTTTCTTTCTTTCTTTTTTATGGCTGCACCGCGTGGCTTACGGGATCTTAGTTCCCTGTCCAGGGATAGAACCCGTGCCCTTGGCAGTGGAAGCGTGGAGTCCTAACCACTGGATTGCCAGGGAATTCCCATAAGTTTGTTTTCTATGTCTGGGAGTCTGTTTCTGTTTTGTAAATGAATTCATTTGCATTTTTTTTAGGTTCCACATAGAAGTCGTATCATATGGTATTTGTCTTTCTCTGTCTGACTTACTTCACTTAGTATGATAATCTCTAGGTCCATCCATGTTGCTGCAAACGGCATTATTTCATTCTTTTTTATGGCTGAGTAGTATTCCATTGTCAAATATGCACTTTTCATAATACTATCTTATGAAAATATTTCCATACTTATATATGCTACATCATCTATCATTTTAAGAGCTGCAAAGCAATGCATAACTTATTTAATCAATTCTAATGATGTACATTTTGATTTTCCCTCCAATTTTTAAGTTTCACAAACAATACTACAATGAACGTCCTTGTGTATCCTTTGTTCCAACTGTTTCATTAGAGGTAATTCCTAAAAGTGGAATCGTCAGGTAAAAGACATATTTAATTAAAAATAAGTTTTACTTAAAATTTTTGTTTTTGGGAAAGCGATACACCACACAGTTTACAGAGCTGACTAGGTCTATAAGATTATTATGATAAGAAACCATTTCTTATGTTCTCCCCTATCTTCCCCTCTTTTGAGGCATCTTCTTTCAACATTTTAGCTACATCTTTTGTATTCACCTCGGTATCTCTAAATAACGTTCCAATTTTATTTTTTATTTCAGACGTTATCTAACTTTCTACTTGCTAGATGAGAACTTAGCAATCGTTCATCTCCTCATCTGCACTCCCAAACACACACACACTTCCCAATACACACTGAACAAATAATTTTGGACTATTTCCCCCATCTTTCACATGTGTAGTAGGTTCAGTAGTCATTTTATACATCATATCCCTGTCTTGTCACCTCTGATCACAAGGGATTTGTTTAAAAGAGGACATCTGGTCCAAGCTGGATCTATGAAGGGTTTGCTTCCTAGGAGTCTGTAAGTTGGATTGAGGGAGCTAATGAGTCTGTTGCTGAGCTGGTAACGCACAAATCCCGAAGTTGCTAGTGGTCACATCACCCCACGTGGACTGAGGGGCAGAATGGTGGTAGCTACACAATTTCTATTTAGTACAGGTTTTGGAGTCACAACCATTTCTGCAGGTAGAGTGTGTCTGCGGTGCTAATATTACAGGACTTGGCTTGAAGCTGCTACTAAGTACACTTCTCATTTAGAATGTATTTTATTTGGAGTAGCTTGAGAAATGAAGCTAATTCAGTGTACAAACTGGTTTGCACTGAGAGAGAAGAATGGAACATTCACATAAAAAGAAACAGAGATGAAAAATAGAGTCCTGATGATTTTTCAAGTTCTTTCTAGAAGTCTGAGTGCATTCCTGTCCTTGGGTTTTGTGACACACCTCTACAGCTATACGATAAATTCTGTATTTATGGTTAAGCCAGGGGTATTCCATGAGTTCCTTGTTATTTGCAACCAACAAAGTCCTTAAAAAACAGAACTAAAACCATGTAACATGATATCCTTGATCAATCTTGACTGCGATCTTCAAATCAACTGTGAGGTTGCTGCAAAGCACCAGACCCCATAACTAGCCTCTTCCCTCAGGCTGCAGGTTCCTGCCTCTCCCGGGACACGGAGATGGTTGAATGACAATGGGTGCTGGCTCCAAGCCCTTAGAGACCATTTAGGTAAGAGAAATGCAGTTAAACAGACGAGACAACAACAGAAATGGGGATCTGAAAGCAATATTTGCTATACACAGGATCAATAAAGATGATGTACCCACAATTTATCAAGAATTGTCCTTATGAGCAGAAAGTTCATGGGTGCTGAACCTGAAGGATGGGGCACAGGGGGTTCATCCTCATGGGTTCATGCAGTCTTTCCTCTACTTTTGCTTAGAATGTTCATAATAAAGAACTTAAAATGCATATTTTAAACAGAAAGTAGACAAATAGAACGTAGGTTAAACAATTCTAAATGAAAACAGAAGCCAACAAAAAAAGCAAACAAACAAAAACTATACCTCTGTCTACATTTTGCTGTTTAAAGGGGTTATTTTCATAGAATCTAGCTTCTTTGTAAAAACAAGGATTTTAAAAACTGTTATAGATAGGGAATAAATAAAAATTAACTTCCCAGCAATTAAAGAGATTCAGCCAACATCATGTGCTACTTGACAAATTAAATGATTCATTTTACTCCTTTATTTATACTAATAAAAATACGCATGTATTCTCGAAGCTAGGATTCACTGGGAAGGCTGCTGTGACTCACAGGTGTTCCTGGCGCAACTCGGGACACGATCACAGGCATCTTCTGGTCACATCCTCCCTTCAAAACAGTGCAAATCGAGTATCAGTCAGTATTGCCAACACAGAAACACCTTAATTTAAAAATTGAGTACAATATAAATTCTAAGTTACCTTTACATTGAATCCAAACCTTCCATTTTCATCAGGTTTCATTCTGATTAGGACAAGATTATCATGTGGAATACCACCATTAGGCTTTAAAAGACAAAAATAAATAACTTGTCAGGCTCTTCATTTATAGCCTATCCTTCAGATATACACGAAGCATGCTTCCTGTATATTGATATTATCTAAAGTATATAAAGAATCATAATTTAAGTCTCTCTCGTGCCTTACCTGCATGCTAGACAGTAAGTGCCAAGAGCAACAGGGGCTTTATTAATTACCTGACTAATTAATTTCAGTGTCTCTAGAACCTGCCTCAAAGCTCTGCACGGAGAAAATACTCATAAGTATTACATGAATTCATGTTACTCCCCCTGCTTTTTTTTTTTTTTTTTCGGTACGCGGGCCTCTCACTGTTGTGGCCTCTCCCGCTGCGAAGCACAGGCTCCGGACACGCAGGCCCAGCGGCCATGGCTCACGGGCCCAGCCGCTCCGCAGTATGTGGGATATTCCCAGACCGGGGCACGAACCCGTGTCCCCTGCATCGGCAGGCGGACTCTCAACCACTGCGCCACCAGGATAGCCCTCCCCCTGCTTTTTAAAAACAGCTTTACTGAGATACAATTCACATACTATACTTCACCCATTCAAAGTGTATAATTCAGTCATTTCTACCATAGTCACAGAGTTGTACGAACATCACGACTATTTTTTTTTTTTGGAGGCAGCATTTGATTTGGTGGAAACTACGATGAATTCAGAGATTGCAATTCTCTGGTCTGAAGTAGCAGATGAAATCACAGAGGAAAAAGTTGACAGGCATGTCAATGACCTGTTAAAATGCTACTCTTTGATTTTACAACCTTTTCTTCATCCCCCAAAGAAACCCTGTGTCCACGAGCGGTCACCCCCATCCCCAAGTCCTATTCAACCCTCCATCTACTTCCTCCCTATATACTTGACTATCCTGGACATTTCACATATATGAAATTATACAACATACGTCATTTGTTACAGGCTTCTTTCACTTAACGTGTCGTATGCCTGCTCTTTGGGGGTAAGTAGCTGGCTAATTCTTGTTTAGCCTTTGAGACACAGGTCGAAGATGTGACCATTTCTAGGAAGTCTTCCCTCAGCGCCACAGCTGAATTAGTTATTTTTATACACTTATGAATTCCCATAGTCACTTCTAATTAAAGAGCTTGTTCAGTTCTCAGTCCCCACCTTCCTCGACTCACCAGTAGCACCTGACACAGCTGGTTACTCTCTCTGTGGCTGCCTTCTCATCAGCCAGTTGACTAGTTTTTTTCCTACCTTTTGGTCTGCATCTTTTCAGTTTCCTTTGCTGGTTCCTTTCAACTCCCTCATGTTTACAGTTTGGAGGACTAAGGCTCCATTTCTAGAACCTCTTATTCTGTTATCTGTACACACTGCACTTCCTGTCTCATGGTTTTAAATACTGTCTACATGCCATCGACTCTCAACATTATACCTTCAGCTTCGACCTCTCCCTTCAACTCCAGAATCCAAACGGACTCCTACTAGACATATCAACGTGTCCCAGCTGAGCTCCCGACATTCCACCCACCCCTGTTCTACCTGTAGCCTTCCCACATCAGCAAATGGTAACTTCATCCTCCTATTTATTCAGGCCCAAAACCTTGCTGTTGTTATCCCTGCTGTTATTCCCCTCTCTCTAGTCTCCCACAGCCAACTCATCAGCAGAGTAGGTCAGCTCTACTCTAAAACTCCACCCAGAACACAGCTGTGTCTCATCCCTTCCACTGGCACCACCTTCTCCAATCACGGCTGCTTCTTGGGGCCCTGCAACACCTCACAGCCAGCTTCTCTGCTGCTACCCTGCTTGCGGTCCACTGCCAACATACGAGCCACAGTGAAACCGTTAAAGCTTAAGTGACATCACGTTACTTCTCTCCTTAGGTATGTCCGTTTGCTTCCAATCTCACTCAGGGTTGAAGAATGAAACATTTACAAGACCAGGCTTTTAGGATCTGGCCTTCTGCTGTCCCCGTCCTGCTCTGTCCTCGCTGACCCCCTTGGTGTCCCCTGACCACACAGCCATACCCCTGCCTTGGCACCTGCTACTCCCTCGGCTTACCTGCTCTCACGCCAGGTATCCATGTGGCTTATCACCAAACTCATCTCTGGCTCACACTATCTAGAACTGGAACACTCCACTCTGGAAATTCCCTAGCCCTTTTCTGCTTTGTCTCTCTAGCATTTATACTATCTAATACGCTATATATTTAAATTACATATTTTGTTTACTGTTTGTCTCACCCTTATCCCCAGAATACAAGTTCCTTGCAGGCAGAGTTTTAAATTTTTTATTTTACTCTATTGTATTCCCAGAGCCTATAACAATAGGTACTCAATAAGTCATTTTTGCATGAAGGAAAAAAACAAACTAGACTATGAATTATTTAATAGCAGGGACCACATCTGATTTGTCTGCATACTCCCACTACCTCCTTAAGTACCTGGCACACAAAACGACCTCAGTAACTACGAACCGATGAATGAATGATGCGTAAGAATCACCACGCAGGTAGCACTCGAGTTGTCATTCACTTTGGGTAAGGATTTTGATCTCTTTTTGATGCGTCTGTGGGGCCATAAGTGTGGGAGAATAGAGTGGCTGCCTCTTGTTTTTCAATTTTAGAAAACGTGGGAGGGCTATGGGCGAAAAACAAGGGGGGAAGAGTGCAATGGCCAGCCGAGACTTCGGGCACTGCCAGCACCTGCTGTGGGACTTCCTCTACCTGCATCTTATTTTATTCCTTGATGCCCCTTGAAGTTTCCTGAAATACACTCATATTTCTGTCTGTCATTATACATCTTCATGAACACAGTGTATCCTTAAAATTTATTAACAATCTCACCTTTGGTTCATCTACTTGAAAAAGCAATGAAAATTCATCAATCAGGGGATTCTAAGAATTTACCATTTTGTTTGGTACAAAGTACCAAAGCAACTCACGAATATATCTTGAAGAACAGGGTAATTATATATTCTGGAGACCTGTACTCAATTTCAAAAGGTTGATGAAAATGATAAATGATAAAGTGTCGGGACCCAGTCAATTATGTAATAAAATTAATGGTATTTAATGGATTATTAGCATTTGTTCTGGAAATGTGTGTTTTGCAAGACAGAAATCAACAAATTTGTCAAAAATTAACTTCTAGAGCAATGAACGTTTTATAAATATGATAAAAGGAAATTCCACAATTGGGCTATATGGTGGCACAATTCATGAGCAAACACATGATGAAAAAGAGAAAGTACTATAATATAATTTACAGATAAAACAGGCTATGTTACAAAAAATACTTCATTTACAATTAAACATTTTCAAAGAAATGTGAGAATATTTGAAGAAACTACTTACAGTAGCTTTTTCAGGGGAAGATGGAACATCAAATGTTTCATTAATATGGTTTTCCAGATCTTGTTGAGAATGTGAAAAATGAATTTGGTTCCAACTGTTTTTCTTTGATTGTTTGGGTGGTAAAGCTGGAGGCTGCCCATCTCCAGGGGTCTCTTGTGATCTAGATAGAAAAAAAGAGAAAAAATAAATATTTTGGAAGTTGTCTTACAGAATTATTATTTTATTTATTTTTTTAAAGTAATGGTAGAATTTTATTTTTTTAATTAATTTTTATTGGAGTATAGTTGCTTTACAACGTTATGTTAGTGTGTGTTAGTTTCTACTGTAAAATGAATCAGCTACACGTATACATATATCCCCTCTTTTACGGATCTCCTTCCCATTTAGTTCGCTACAGAGCACTGAGTAGAGATCCCTGTGCTATACAGTAGGTTCTCATTAGTTATCTATTTTATACATAGTATCAGTAGTGTATATGTCAATCCCAATCTTCCAATTCCTCCCAGCCTAGAATTATTATTTTATTACGATGTCTAATAGGAGACAAGCTTTAAATGTCATGTTTATTTGCAAGTGCCACTGTTTAATGAAATCTTCCTTAACTTTGTAGTTTAAAGTAACAAATCTCATTTCCTACTTTATCAAATCCGTAAACAATTCACATATAATAAAATATACTTTAAGGGTATCTCTATGAAGATATTTATTAATCTACCATAAAAACCCCTTTCTAAGGTTTTCAGCAGTCATGTGGGCAGGCAGGGAGAAATCAGAGCTGAGGGCCGAGCTGCTCCAAAGACAAAACACCCGGTACCATCCAGAGAACTCAAGGGGTTGCCTGTTTTATTTACAGGTAAAACACAACTCACAGAAGTGATGAACACAGCGAGGAAGAGTGCTGAGCTCACTGAGGAGACAACACTGGATGAGTACGTATGTCGGAAAACCTGATTTCAGGTGAAGGGGCTAAAAACCAACAGACACTAGAGAGCATAACCTCAGGCCATAGCAGCGGGAGCTGATCTGACCAGCTAGGCCTGACAGGGCAACTTCAAGGTAGATGCTTAGCACAAGCACCCTCACTCCCTCTTGCAAGAGCACCGGAACCACGCCTAACTGCTGAACAATCATCGACAGGAAGACACTGAAGCTCACCAAAAAAGATACCCCACATCCAAAGACAAAGGAGAAGCCACAATGAGACGGTAGGAGGGGCGCAATCACAATAAAGCCAAATCCCATAACCGCTGGGTGGGTGACTCACAAACTGGAGAACACTTATACCACAGAAGTCCACCTCCTGGAGTGAAGGCTCTGAGCCCCAAGTCAGGCTTCCCAACCTGGGGGTCCAGCAACGGGAGGAGGAATTCCTACAGAATCAGACTTTGAAGGCTAGTGGGATTTGACTGCAGGACTTCGACAGGACTGGGGAAACAGAGACTCCACTCTTAGAGGGCACACACAAAGTAGTGTGCACATTGGGACCCAGGGGAAGGAGTAGTAACCCCACAGGAGACTGAACCAGACCTACCTGCTAGTGTTGGAGGGCCTCCTGCAGATGCGGGGGCTGGCTGTGTCTCACCGTGAGCACAAGGACACTGACAGCAGAAGTTCTGAGAAGTACTCCTTGGTGTCAGCCCTCCCAGAGTCTGCCCTTAGCCCCACCAAAGAGCCAGGTTGGCTCCAGTGTTGGGCTGTCTCAGGCCAAACAACCAACAGGGAGGGAAGCCAGCCCCACCCATCAGCAGACAATCGGATTAAAGTTTTACTGAGCTCTGCCCACCAGAGCAACAGCCAGCTCTATCCACCACCAGTCCCTCCCATCAGGAAACTTGCACAAACCTCTTAGACAGCCTCATCCACCAGAGGGCAGACAGCAGAAGCAAGGAGAACGACAGTTCTGCAGCCTGTGGAACAAAAACCACATTCACAGAAAGAAAGACAAGATGAAAAGGCAGAGGGCTATGTACCAGATGAAGGAACAAGATAAAACCCCAGAAAAACAACTAAATGAAATGGAGATGGGCAACCTTCCCGAAAAAGAATTCAGAATAACGAGAGTGAAGATGATCCAGGACCTTAGAAAAAGAATGGAGGCAAAGATCGAGAAGATGCAAGACATGTTTAGCACAGACCTAGAAGAATTAAAGAACAAACAAACAGAGATGAACAATACAATAACTGAAAAGAAAAATACACTAGAAGGAATCAGTAGCAGAATAACTAAGGCAGAAGAACAGATAGGTGACCTGGAAGACAGAATGGTGGAATTCACTGCTGCAGAACAGAATAAAGAAAAAACAATGAAAAGAAATGAAGACAGCCTAAGAGACCTCCGGGACAACATTAAACGCAACAACACTAGCATTACAGGGGTCCCAGAAGGAGAACAGAGAGAGAAAGGACCCGAGAAAATATGTGAAGAGATTATAGTCAAAAATTTGCCTAAAATGGGAAAGGAAATAGCCACGCAAGTCCAGGAAGCGCAGAGAGTCCCATACAGGATAAACCCAAGGAGAAACACGCCGAGACACACAGTAATCAAATTGGCAAAAATTAAAGACAAAGAAAAATTATTGAAAGCAGCAAGGGAAAAACGAAAAGTAACATACAAGGGAACTCCCATAAGGTTAACAGCTGATTTCTCAGCAGAAACTCTACAAGCTAGAATGGAGTGGCATGACATATTTAAAGTGATGAAAGGGAAGAAGCTACAACCAAGATTACTCTACCCGGCAAGGATCTCATTCAGATTAGACGGAGAGAAATCTAAAGCTTTACAGACAAGCAAATGCTAAGAGAATTCAGCACCATCTAACCAGCTCTACAACAAATGCTAAAGGAACTCCTCTAAGTGGGAAACACAAGAGAAGAAAAGGACCTAGAAAAACAAACCCAAAACAACTAAGAAAATGGTAATAGGAACATACATATCGATAATTACCTTAAACATGAATGGATTAAATGCTCAACCAAAAGACACAGGCTCACTGAATGGATACAAAAACAAGACCAATGTATATGCTGTCTACAAGAGACGCACTTCAGACCTAGGGACACATAAAGACTGAAAGTGAGGGGATGGAAAAAGATATTCCAGGCAAATGGAAATCAAAAGAAAGCTGGAGTACCAATACTCATATCAGATAAAATAGACTTTAAAATAAAGAATGTTACCAGAGACAAGGAAGAACACTGCTAATGATCAAGGAATCAATCCAAGAAAAAGATATAACAATTATAAATATATATGCACCCAACATAGGAGCACCTCAATACATAAGGCAACTGCTAACAGCTATAAAAGAGGAAATCGACAGTAACACAATAATAGTGGGGGACGTTAACACCTCACTTACACCAATGGACAGATCATCCAAACAAAAAATTAATAAGGAAACACAAGCTTTAAATGACACAATAGACCAGACAGATTTAATTGATAGGACATTCCATCCAAAAAGAGCAGATTACACTTTCTTCTCAAGTGCACATGGAACATTCTCAAAGATAGATCACATCTTGGGTCACAAATCAAGCCTCAGTACATTTAAGAAAATTGAAATCATATCAAGCATCTTTTCTGACCACAACGCTATGAGACTAGAAATGAATTACAGGGGGAAAAAAAGTAAAAAACACACATGGAGGCTAAACACTGAAGAAATCAAAAAATACCTAGAGACAAATGGCAATGAAAACATGACGATCCAAAAGCTATGGGGTGCAGCAAAAGCAGTTCTAGGAGGGAAGTTGATAGCAATACAATTAGCTTACCTCAAGAAATGAGAAGAATCTCAAATAAGCAATCTGACCTTACACCTAAAGGAACTAGAGAAAGAAGGACAAATAAAACCCAGAGTTAGCAGAAGGAAAAAAATCATAAAGATCAGAGCAGAAATAAATGAAACAGAAACAAAGAAAACAATACCAAGGATCAATAAAACTAAAAGCTGGCTCTTTGAGAAGATAAACAAAATTGATAAACCATTAGCCAAACGCATCAAGAAAAAGAGGGAGAGGACTCAAATCAATAAAATTAGAAATGAAAAAGGAGAAGTTAAAACAGACACCACAGAAATACAAAGTATCCTAAGAGACTACTACAAGCAACTCTATGCCAAAAAAATGGACAACCTGGAAGAAGTGGACAAAATCTTAGAAAGGTATAACCTTCCAAGACAGAACCAGGAAGAAATAGAAAATATGAACAGACCAATCACAAGTAATGAAATTGAAGCTGTGATTAAAAATCTTCCAAGAAATAGAAGTCCAGGATCAGATGGCTTCACAGGTGAATTCTATCAAACATTTAGAGAAGAGCTAACACCCATCCTTCTCAAACTCCTCCAAAAAACTGCAGAGGAACGAACACTCCCAAACTCATTCTATGAGGCCACCCATCACACTGATACCAAAATCAGACAAAGATACTACCAAAAAAGAAAATTACGGACCAATATCACTGATGAATATAGATGCAAAAATCCTCAACAAAGTACTAGCAAACAGAATCCAACAACACATTAAAAGCATCATACACCATGATCAAGTGGGGTTTATTCCAGGAATGCAAGGATTCTTCAATATACGCAAAACAATCAATGTGCTACACCATATTAACAAACTGAAGAAGAAAAACCATATGATCATCTCAATAGATGCAGAAAAAGCTTCTGACAACATTCAATACCCATTTACGATAAAAACTCTCCAGAAAGTGGGCACAGAGGAAACCTACCTCAACATAATAAAGGCCGTATACGACAAACCCACAGCAAACATCATTCTCAATGGTGAAAAACTGAAAGCATTTCCTCTAAGATCAGGAACAAGACAAGGGTGTCCACTCTCACCACTGTTATTCAACATAGTTTTGGAAGTCCTAGCCACGGTAATCAGAGAAGAAAAAGAAATAAAAGGAATACAAATTGGAAAAGAAGAAGTAAAACTGTCACTGTTTGCAGATGACATGATACTACACATAGAGAATCCTGAAGATGCCACCAGAAAACTACTAGAGCTAATCAATGAATCTGGTAAAGTTGCAGGATACAAAATTAATGCACAGAAATCTCTGGCATTCCTACATGCTAATGATGAAAAATCTGAAAGAGAAATTAAGGAAACACTCCCATTTACCATCGCAACAAAAAGAAT